TCTCTTTCAGATTCTTTATTTTCCTTTACCTCCCTGGTTCCCTTTCATTATCCTGGTTCCTGTAGTTATGTCTGGATACAAACTCATTTATAAGGATTTGGTGCTAGGATTCATGTATGAGAGAGATCATATTTCTTTTTTTTTTTATTCTGAGTCTGTTACTTCACTTAATATAACAATTTCTAGTTCCATCCATTTGCCTGCAAATTTCATGGTTTCATCTTTTTTTTACTGCTGAGTGAATCTCCATCATATAATTGAACCACATTTTCATTACCCACTCATCAGTCGAGGGACACTTAGGTTGCTTCCATCTCTTAGCTATTGTGAAAGAGCAGCAATAAACATGGATGTACAAGTGTCTCTGCAGTAGGATGGGTTCCTTCCTTTGAGTTGTTGGCCAGGGTGGCCCAAGAGACTCCCGGACAGTAACCAGTATATCTTATCTAAAGGAATATTGGCAACTGATTGCTGGTAGATGAGGAAGAGCTGATCTTCGTAAAAGAAGGAGCTCTATATAGGCTGACTAGATTCAGCAGATGGACAAACACTGGAGAACTGCTGGGGGCACCAACAACACAGTGGACAGTAACAGGGATGACAGAGTATATGGGCTCCAATGGTGGGTGGGAGGAATATATGGGAAGGTGCCATTTGGGATGTGGATATATAGATGAATAAGATTGTTTGGGAGGTTCTGTATGAAATACACACAAAATATCAACAAATAAGGAAATGAGTTATATTTGAAGAGGAAGCGTAAAATTTGCTCCATGTTAATTAGTAGAGGTGAAACACATTATCATTGAAATCCATCTGATGATTTTATATCCATGATGCCAAGGAGCTCAGAAAGTAACCAACTATCACTAGCAATAATCAGATATGTAGAGATTTGAAACGCATGTGCAAACATCTTAATGTCAATTGCACTGAAATTGAATTTTTCTATATGAAACTGTATTTTAATAATGAAATGGAGCTCTTTTTTAAAGGTTAAAACCTCATTTAATTTTATGTCTTATAGGGTTTATACTGAGTATAATATTG